TGCGACATCTGCTTAACCCTGAACCTGAAAATTACTCAATTCACTGATGCAGCAACACAGCCCTGAGTTGCCAGCATGGCTTATCTGTCAGGCTAGTCAGAGACACAGGAGTACCATAAAACCTGTGTCTTGGGAACTTTCTGGTGATTCTGGCCAGCCTAACAAACATCCTGGAGCAGCCTTTCCCTTCCCTGGCTCCTGAAACCACTTTCTCTGATGCCTAGACATGTGCTGCTGAGGGTTCCATCTCCTCTAACAATCCCAAGCCCATTTTTGAGGTCCACCCTGAGGCCCCAAGAGGCAAAGGGAATTGCCCAAATCCGCCAGCAGGGCCCTCCTACCACCACAGACCACAAAGCCTCTGACTCCAAATTTTGCGTTCACCAAAAAGTACACACAAGACAAAACAGGGTGGGAAGAAGGAAGTCAGGCCCAACACTGTATCCTCCATCCCATCTAAAATGTTTCCTTTGATGCTGAGTTTCAGTATGTACCACTCCTTCCAAAAACTCATCAAGCCCCCATTCCACCCTCCCTTCCTGGAAGTTACTGTGGTCACAGAATAAAATTTTCTGTCATCCATTTCAAACAGATCCTCTGTGGACAGCCAAAACAACACCCAAGTGTCGTCTTTGACACAGGAATGACCAAAGGCAAACTTACCCCTGCACTGGTTTTCTCTTCTGTAAAATGGCTAAAGAGCCTTGCTTCATAGGATTGTCTCAATAGGATTAAGTAAATGGAAGCAGGTAAAGCTCCAGAAAGGGCCTGGTACACATTAAGTGCTCAAACATGAGCTGCCATTTTACCAGACATACAATACCAAAACTAGACCAACGGTTCTTCTACCGGAATCTGTGGAGGAAACCGGAGCAGGGTTATTTGCCACAGAATATGGACCACACACCACCTCCAGCCAAACAGGTCAGTCATAGGATCCCTTCCCCCTGGACCCATTCAGAACCAAGGAAAACCTCTGACTAAAGCACACGCTCCAGAAACTTTTCTTTAAAAAAAAAAACTTTCATAATAAAGTTTATTATCTAAACTGGTTGTAAAAAATATAAAATAGGATTCTGCACAGCAGAAAAATAAAGCCAGAGACCCTCCCACAACCCCTGGTTTGTGCAAAGATACTTGGGTATATGTAAACATGAAGAGGTAGGAGGTACAAGTTCAGGTCCTGGCCCCAGATACAGTTAAGTTAAGCTGCTACTACAACCAGGGGGACCCAGAGGGAGCACCAGGAGGGGGGCACGCCCCCAAGAGTTGGGGAGGGGTCTGCGGCCTCGTCTCCAGCCGAGAGGGGGAGGGACCTCGCCCCCCACACCGGCTCCCTCCAATCCAGGCGGGGAGGGCACCCACGTGGTTCCAGGGAAATAATAATTAATAATAAAAAATAAGGCGCCCAGTTAATGCTGCCTGCGCGGCCGGTCAGATCTGGAAGGGGAAGGAGCTCAAGTAGTCGCGGAGAACAGGGTTGAGGGGGATGCGCGCCAGGTTCTCGCGGCCCACGGTGGCCACGATGCGCTGGCGACACAGCTCCTG